AAATGCTTTCATACTATTCATAGATGTATCTGACCACAATTACAGCAAAATACTGAAACTAAATGCTTTCACAGATGTATCTGACGGATTCTGACCACAATGACAGCAAAGCACACGTTAACTAAATGCTTTCATAAATTCATAGATGTATCTGACCACAATTACAGCAAAGTTGAAGAGAAGTCATTGTGTGCGTATGCCCTAAGTGGGCGGGTCCGTTTCATAAAATACCAGTTAAGTTGAAGACTTGAAGTACATACATGTGGCTTGCACTCTCAAGTGATGTCTGATTTGAAATTTGAAAAGGAAGAAAAAGAAAAAAAATGTCGTAGAGGAGTTTTTAATTCATTTGAGAAAAAAATCAGATTGGCCAAGCATGTCACGTTTGATCGGATGTATTTTTCAGACCATCGCAGTATCTGATACAGGGCCTCTTTTGCCGAACCTGCAGGTTCGGTGATGAGCTGGGCGGTCGCAATAAATCCAATGCCATGAGGGATCTGGCTGGCTTGGCAGTAAATCCAGTTAGTGATGTCTGATTTGAAATTTGAAAAAGAAGAAAAAGAAAAAAAAAATGTTGTAGAGGGATGGCTTCAGGGTAACGTTTTCCAAGTACCGGATATGTTGCCCGATTCAGAATTTGCAATCCGTACGCCGTAAATCCAAAAGGGCAGGGATGCAAATCGAACAAAGGCAGGAATGTAAAACTGTAAATCCAATAATGAAGCGGTGTATAATCCAATGAGGCCCTATGAGGGTATAGTTTTCTACCACTCACCCCTTCAAACACCAGGCAGGTTGCTCCATTCAGAAGCGGTCCATAGGCCACATAGCTGTGTCCAGTGATCCACCCACAGTCAGCAGTGCACCTGGACAAAATACGCAGAGAGCTCAGGTAAGTACCTATTCCGGACAGCTTAGGTCATATTTTTCCACACAGCAGGACTTTCCAGGACGTATTTGACTGTAATAGCCCCCAAATTCACGTGACGAAGTCCTAGTGGGAGTATGCTCTTATAGCTATCGAGGCATGTTTGTTGCAGAATTAAGACAGTGGCACACCGTCCATAGCCCATCTGCTCCCACCACTCAGAGCACACTGGCATTGACAGTCGTGGCGTGACACACGATCTGACAGCAGGGAGCAAGTAGATATTAAGGATGCAGCGTGGTGTGAGTAAAACTCTGTATGCTGTTTTGACTTGCCGGTGGAAAGGGACAGGACTGATGCTCCCCAGAAATGAATACGGAGCCAGAACCGTAAGGTTCTGTTTTTTTGGGTGGGATTCACTGGGGAAAAAGAAGAAAAAAAAGATGTTAAGGAAAGACAGAGAGATCACAGGATTCATCTCTTCTTCTTCTTCTTCTTCTTCTTCTTCTTCTTCTTCTTCTTCTTCTTCTTCTTCTTCTTCTTCTTCCTCTTCCTCCTCTTCTTTCCTCCTCCTTCCTCGTCCTTCTTCTTCCTTCTTCTTCCTTCTTCTTCGGTCTTCTTCCTTCTTCTTCGGTCTTCTTCCTTCTTCTTCGGTCTTCTTCCTTCTTCTTCCTTCTTCTTCCTTCTTCTTCGGTCTTCTTCCTTCTTTTTCCTTCTTCTTCCTTCTTCTTCTTCTTCTTTCTTCTTCTTCTTCTTCTTCTTCTTCTTCTTCTTCTTTTTTCTTCTTCTTCTTTTTGAGTTTCCATAACATAGTTCCACTCAGAAGTCCACCATGATGAGAAAGGGCAGCATCCTCGGCTCTTTTCGCTGGCCCAGCAGCCAGGCTTCAGCAGGTGCAAATGTGCTTCTGCTTCTAGAGGCAGGACAAAACCGCAACTCCCAGGATCCAAACTACATACTGTGACGACCGCGACGACCCCGAAAGCAATTTAAGCTTGTCCATGCCATGCTACGTTGATCCCCCTCTCTACTAAATAACAGCCCTACGTTGTCGGTTTCTCCAATGCACAGTCCCCATGTGATCATGATACAGGCCTATGCATTGATAGACTTCCTCACTAACTCCATGTAAATTCTGAAACACATCTTCTCCTTTGCCGGGGAGAGTCCCGGGAGAAATCATGCAAGGTACTGCGACATGAAGAAACTTCAAGAAACACGAAGACACATCGCCAACCGAGAGAGAGAATGCAGGGTAAAAACAAAAACACAAGAAAGGCAGAACTGAACAAAGAAACCTGCAGAAGCTGATACACGGTCATACACGCCCCCTAAGAGCCCTACATTCCAGCTCATTTGACCCATATAGCCGGCAAGACCCGGACATGGGAGGATTTTCTGGCCAAAGCGGCCAGGACATCCGATTTACTGGCAATTCAACACGAACTGTAAGCCGCCAGTGTGTCTGAGCCTCTTTTCTCCAATGCATGCCAGTTTTCGCAGCGCACGAATTCCAGATGAACCGGCACGGCACGGGATTTGCCTGGCACTGCCCGACCGGCGATTCCGTGGAAACTCCATGCAAGCAGAAGATGAGTGGCCATACTAACACTGGGCCTAACGAGACCGAACCTGTATGTCACTGCCAAGAGATACATCCTGCAAAGTCCTAGAGTGAATATGTGACATATGCCCTAGTCCACATTCCAAAGCACTGGAGGGTGAACATGGACTGTTGTGCTGCCTACTACCATGCATGACCTTCGAAGTTCGAACCACCTGGTTTATAATGTTGTTTTGCTGAATTGCCTGAGCGGCTTTTGGAGACCCGTTTGCACACTCATTCACAGGCTTCTCCCTCCCGCTCCCCTCCCCCTCCTCCCCCCCTCCAAGTGGAATAGCCCCTAACATTACTGAACCCAGCAGTTTCCAATTTTGGAACTCGAACTCGTCATCTGTTTATTAACAGTTACATTCCCGATACTATTCAGACAGACGGTGTGCACACAGCTTGCGACAATTAATATCAATTATCGAGTTAATGATAATGAACAGTACATAAGAAATGATTCAAGCTCTGTCGCCCCTGTTAAAATTTTGGCGGTTCGGAAAAGAACGATTGAAAAGAACGGAAACAAAGAGAAAGAAAGAAAGCAGTTTCGAGAACTCACCAAAACACATCACCACGGCGATAGTCAAAAACATACTTGAATGTCGTCGCAGCATACACCATATATCCTCCAGTTGTATGGAGGACTCCCTGGGGGGGGGGTAGACACAAAACAACTTCCATAATAAGTAGTGAACGTTCAATGTGAGCCGCTGGAAGCGTACCAAGGGCAAGGTTGGAAATTTCAAGTTCCAATATCTTTCCCCTTCTGGATCCCAACCAGATTTTTTCTGTGATATGCAACCTGTAACGAACCCAACTGCGGAAAGCAGGCGATCAAGTCTCCCATGAACTTACACAAGGGGTGCTCATCAACGATATAACCAAATCGAGACAGCAATGGATGAAGAGACTGTGAGAAGAAAAGAGCAAAAAGCACAGAAATAACTTAGTAAATGTTTCCATGAACTTTGCAATGCTTTGCATCAACCATAACCACCACATTGAGGAAAAATGTTCAAATTGCTTTGCCCTCCTCTTTCACAGGATTCCTTCTCAAAAACCTCAACAAATCGACTGGGTTTGCAACTCCCAACGACTTCATTGCCAATCTAAACACAAGGTCACCAGCCAATCATTCTCTCTACCATGCTGGCCTGTCCCTGGAGAGAGAG